TGAGCTTGGCGCGGACCAGTCCCAATTGGTGGTTTCTTTCCGAGGTAGCAGTCATACAGACTATGTCGGACACTGCTTTAGCTTCCTTGTACCAATCACAATTTAAGCGCAAGGGAGCCTTGCGTAATAACCTATGGTGGGACTGTGTATTGAATTATTTTATTATTGCATTGATATTTTATCATTATTGATGCAAATTAAGCTAATAAGTATTAAAAGTGATTCTACATCACCGTAAATAGTAAGAATTAAAAAAAAATATTTCCACTTTTTTGATCACAAAATATACAGTAATTCTGTTCACTTTTTGTGGTTAAATTTGCTGCATTATATTTCCTGTTTACTAATATTGTTCGATGTGAACAATACACTCGTGACTGCATACATAGCCCATAGCAGAGCAATTTAATTGTAGAACATTATAATATCAAATCGTCCAGGTTTTTTTGGATTTTAACTAGTTAGAGAAACAATCTTATCAGGTAAGAATTTTGACGATACGTTTAGTCCGCTTAGTATCTTACTTTTAATGTAAAAAAATGCGAATTTTTTTTTTACAAATTTTACGCCTAGAAAATTCGTAGACGTAAGTCAGCTTTTAACTCTATAGATGTTTAAGTTAATTACTAGGAAAAGCTAGGGATTAGAGATACGTATACAGGGCTCCCAATGGATGTTTTAAAATTTGAGCCAAGACTTGAGCCACCAAGGTTACAAAAGTTACTGTTAGCCACCAATGGAAAACTATAGCCGCTGTTCACTTTATCATATGTGCTAACAAAGGCACACACAGATGATCCGTATCCGAAAATCTAGGTGTACGAAAACATTTCATGACACGACACTGCAATTTTACAATTTCATTAGTCAATTGTAATTGTGCGAGCAGTTAAATCATTCGCCAATTGTACTCACCACTTAATGTAGTAAAATCAAAACTGTTATTTATTTATCGCATTTTGTGAAGCTGGCGAACACCAGCTGCTGCAGTAATTCCCGTATACGATATTACGTATTCGTTCCTCACCTGTCGCTGGGCCTTCACGAGACGCGCCGCGTCCCACAGCTGACGAATCGCGAGCGGCGCCGACTGACGACGCATGTTCGCCGCTGCTGCCATGGTTACGGTTGCCGCTGCGAAGATCGACGCGGTCGGCTAGTCTGACGGGGCGTGTCGTCGCGGGACTGCGAGTCGGGGGACTCTCTAGTTGTTCCCACTTTTCACCTGTGGTTGGATAGATAACAGTTATATGAATTGCTGAGCGAATGTCAAATTTCCATGTGTAACGCTATGATGTTACCTTATTGGGATGTACTATTTATCTGCTAGAGCCTACGGTGCACTTAATCGGAGTTTTAACTGGGCAATTGTGTCTTGTACCACTACCAGATGTTATCTTTATTAATAGATAACAATTACATGAATTGCTGAGTAAATGAAAAATTCCCATGTGTAACGCTATCACATTGCCTTATTGAACGCATTATTTCTTTGATACAATATCATAATATCAGGATTTTATCTGGGCATTTGTGTCTAGCACCAGATGGTATGTTTTGCGCTTCATTGGGAAGTGGCGCTAAAACGATTCACTAAGACAGTGGAAGAGAAAATACAGGATAAACTCTCGCATTTACGTACACCAATAACGCTCATAGGGTCTATGTCCCCCAGGGTACTGCCAGAACGTACCCTGGGTAACTATCTCATATGGTTAGGGTTAGGGTTAGGGT